AAAATTGAAACGGAAGATATAAGTAGATTTCTTGGCACCAATTCCGCAGCATAGAATCTCGACACCGAGCCGATTCCACAAGCGGTAATCAGCAACAACACAGAGAGACCGATAAGCGTGGCTACCTATAAATTTATGCCCTTTAGGGAATAATTGGTAAGGGTTTTAGGATAGTCAAACCTTGAAATTGGGGCCAAGATCGATAGCAACCATCATAGTAAGCAGTGAAAGAATGGAGACAGCCGTTGATGAGATCATTAAGAGACGTCGGCCTAGACGATCCACGAGAAATACAGGAATGAGAGTGAAGGGAAGCCGGAGAAGACCTAAACAATAGTCTTTTGCGAGCCGTAACCAAGAAAAGAGAGTTTCGGGCTTAACAAACTTGTGACGAAGGAACCATAAAGAGCCCCTTGGAAGCTCCATCCACCCAAACCGTAGAGAACATAAGTGCTGAATGCTCGTAGGCATCGCGCACCAGTAAAGACATAGGCAATCTAAGGAGAAATTTCTTCTGACTGAGATTTCACAAGTTTTTGTGGGTTTCATACCTTAACCATCACTCCAAGCCAAGCAGCTTGTCGTATAACTCTCGAAGTTGCATCGTTTGACTTCCATGGCATAAAAATCACAGTTATCGAGTCATGTTCCGTTTTTATGGGGCTGTCCTCTCCCTAAAAGTGTCAGACATATAAATGTTGAAGAAGTTCAGAGATAAAGACGAGCTACCTTTGCCTTTTTATTCTTCTTACTCAAGCCATCTTCACAGATTTTGAGTTCCGCTTCAATCGAAGCGTCATCGATGGCGACTCCGTGATAGGCAGCTAGCGATGCGCGAGCCTAGATTTTCTTTGAATTACAATAATTTTGAAGCACTTTTCTTTCAAAATCCGTCTTTACTTTTTCCTTATTTCCTTGTTTTTCCATAATAAACTGGGGCGACTCATATACAAAGGCGAACATCATCATAGAAAGCAATACAAAGAGAACGTTTGGCAAGAAGACATACGGCCAGAGCTCATCAGTTGAAAAGGGAACTCCAAGAGCTTGTGTTGTTAGAGCACCTGAATGTAGGTGTGTTATGTTGTCGTTGTACGGCAGAAGCTAAACACTCGGAAAAGTTTAGCTTAAAAAAATTTGAAAATAGCCCTTCCGTCATTACAAAACTTCTGTTGCATTTACAGGGTGTCCCAAATAATGTATAAAACGTTTGATCTTCAATAACTTCTTCATATGGAAAGCTTTCGAGAAGCTTTGGGGACCATTTTGTAGAGCTGGCTTCAACTAGATTCACAA